AAAAGGGTTGAGCTAAAAATTCGCTTCAGCAGACACCAAACATCGCAAGAAAATGGGATAGTTCGGCAAAAATAGCCTGAATTAGTTTTCGCTTGCGTGCCACGTAAATAAGCGTCGAGCATAATTGGCCAATTTGGTATACGACATGGCGGATCCAAACAATCCAGATCAAGATTGCTTTTCATTTTTTTTGAATCGCATGCAGTCATTATGAGGACAACCTTTTGTAAACCTCTTTGGAAAAAGGGAAGGTCATTAAATCTTAAAATTTGGCACGTTTTTAACTTTCAAAGAACATTTTGATAAGCTGGAATGTGGCCAAAGCTAAGCCAAAGCGAAACCTTGAAATCCAGAACCGACAACCCGGAATCTCAACAAAATATATGGAACACGTAAAGCCCGCCGTCTCCGCGCGTGTATGGCAGCGGAAATGCCATTTGGGCCTTCCGTGAGGCCCAAAGGTGGAAAGGGGACGGAAAACGCGGCCTTGGAAGTGGAAAGCCCGGCCGTGTGTTGCATCGATAATTCCACTTGGGTCACCCCAGGCTGCTTCTTCTTCTGGGGGGCCCTCGTCTAATAAGACGACCTGCTGGGGGTCGTTAGGGCTTCCAAGGAGATATGGCTTGAAAATTTGTGAAAAAAGCTGAATATCTTTGCAAGACCGGAAGAGAAATCGTCAGCGAGAGAAAAAAGACAGAGAGAGAGAAAGAGAGAGAGAGAGAAAGAGAGAAAGAGAGGGCGAGAGAGAGGGCGAGATACTGCCTTGCAGAGATCTTGCAGAATACGCATAACATTAGTAAAATACTTGCAAACGAAAAATGTTGTACCTACTCGAGACACTGTGTTTTTTCCCATTTTTTGTCCACCTGCCAGTCATTGAGGCGTCTACTGTCTGATCTCCGCATTTTTTCGTATGTTTCTGTCTGTCTCTCTCTCTCGCTCTCACTGTCTCTCTATGTCTCTCTTTACCTTTCTCCCCCTCTCTCTCTCTCTCTCTCTCTCTCTCTCCTTCCCAAACCCGTCATAAGCGAATTAAAGAGGGTTGGACATGTGTTTGTCTGTCTCTCCCCTCTCACTCCCTTTCCGTTGCTTTTTGCTTCTTGGGACCAAAGTGAGCACAGTTGTTCCTCCTCCTCTCCCCCTGGTGGGGCTCCCCGGTTGAAGGTGAGAGTCCCAACACACAAGCCCGCGAAGAAAGAAATACACCAGCTTGGCCTGTGCGGCGACGGGTCGGATCGATGTAACCCGGTGCTAATCGCTCAACCTGCTTAGCGTTCCGATCTATAATTTTGCAATTTATCTTCGGAATCGGGATATTATATAGGAATCCTTTTATTTTGGCATTTACTGGGGCTTTGCTACTCTTTATGGCTTGATGCCTTCAATGCCGGAACCATTATTTAACGATTCCGCCAAAAACGCCAGCTACTAATCCGCCTTTTTGCGTGTTCATAGGGGCTTGTTTTTGCCATATAACCGACAATTAAATTCGCGACTTTCCAAAATGCCGACTGCCGAAGTTCTTAACCAGACATAATATCGACGGCGAGAATCCAGAATGATCCAGACTGACATCCTGTAGCTGCCCGACATTTTGAAGCTATTTTCAATTTAATTATATTTCTGATTATTCTTTTTGTTGTCTTTTTTGAGTCTATAACTTTTTTTTCATGTAGGGATCCGGGCGTTCGAAGTATCGCTGTCGGGATTTTGGGTTTCCGGGATAAGGATTATCGAGATTTTTGAGGGTCGGCTTTTGGGCTGTCGGGGTTTTGGACTGACGAAAATACGAGATTATTACTCTCGAATTCTCGCTGTCGGGATTAAGCTTTAGGATTTTATGTCGGGATTTTAAATGTCGGCATTTGGCTTTTTGCCATAAAAGTCTACTTTATTTATTTTTTCGGTTCCTATAAACGATACCGGATCAATTTTTAGCTTGTTTTGTGTTGTCTTGATAATTAAAAAACGGCTCCACCGGTTTTTTTTCGAAAATTGCTCAGGCGTTCTGTGGGCATAAATTTTCTGAAATTACTTCTCAAAGCGCAACTTACCTACAGGTAACCCGCCGCCAAGCTGGCGCCATGCCGCACATGGAGCCAAAATTCGAGTTGGCGTTCAGGAGAACACTGTTCTTTTTTGTACTCATCCTCGTCTACCTAATTCTTGGAGCTTCAGCACTTTCGCTATTGAGGCCGCCGCGACATGATAAGGTACATTTTGCTATTATAAAAGCAATTAGTATATATTTTTAGGGTTCCCTCGACAAAATCGAGCGAATTGACGTGAAGCGTGCAGAGCTGTTGAACGTACTTTGGGCAGAGACGTTGGCGAAATCAGAAAATGATTGGGAAGAGATGGCGAATCAAAAGATGGAAGCTTATGAAAAGGTCATTTCAGCTGTTTCTAAGTGCTGGCAGGTGGTTTTTTTTTGCTTTTTCAAAGAACTGTTTTTATGACTGCAATCTTGCTTAAACGCGGTGTTTCTTTGGACAAAGGAGGCCTGTTTTATTGTCTTAACTAAGGCTAAAAAGAAAACAAAAAAAACGAGAAAGAGAATGCTTGTGCACCGTATCTCTGTCGCCTTCTCTCTTTCTCTCTCTATCTCTCGCCGTCTATCTCTCTTTGTCGCTCTCTCTTTCTCTCTCTCTCTCTCTCTCTCTCCGTTTTCTTTTTCATGACCAAACTTTGTGGATTTTTGTAAAAGCGGAAATGCGTTAGAAAGAGAGAGAGAGAGAGAGAGAGAGAGAGAGAGAAGAGAGAGAGGGAGAGAGCGAGCGAGAGAGTGACAGAGAGAAAGATCTTTATTTAATCTTATTTTTTCCAGACGCTTCTCACCAGCGCCTCATCCTTCGTCGAACAACGCGACTTCACCTTCTGGGGCCACTTTGAGCGAGCGTTCTCGATGATTACAACTATTGGTGGTTTTCATATCTTTTAGCCCTGATCAATGCATCAAAATTCAGGCCCAATCGACTGTCGCGAGCTGTCGACGCTCGGCAAAATGTTTTGCTTTGTGTATTCGCTACTTGGAGTACCACTCGCGTTACTATATCTCTCGCACTGTAACAAAATGGCTGCTTGTTTGTGTTCATCGGTAGGGTTTAGGATTCAGATATGTGTTCTATTTTTTAAAATTGGGTATAATTTAATCGATTAAATTTTATGCATATAAGCGCGCGATTAAACAAGCCCTGTTTTATGCATACCAAAAACAAGACTAACTCCGATATACTTCTGCATATGCATAATTAAACGAGTTATCATGGTGTTAAAAAACGCTAAATTATAGAATCCTATCTGGCTGGATTTAACCTATCTAAAAGTTGATTTTTCGACACCCTCAAACCTCGGATTCATCAGCTTTCAGACAAAAATCTTCCTCTCGACCTTCAGCCTAATTTTTGTGGGTGCGGTGGTGTACGACATTGTCGAGCAGGGCAGCGATGATACGGTAAGGAATCCTTTTTCATCAACTTTTCAATTTTGGCTTTAGCCCTTCATCGACGCCTACTTCAGCGTTTTCCTCCAATTCTCCACGATAGGGGAGGAGGACCCGAGAGTACGGTATGTTCCTTATTTTTGCTACGGTATTAGGTGCTTCGAATTTGTAGATTAACTTTTTATTTCAGAGGCATCTTCACCTATATTTTATGCCTGGCGGGGCTTTCATTGATGTCAGTGACGTTTATCGTCATTCAACAAGAGGTAAGGCTATTTTTACAAGCTGGAAAGTGAAGAATTCGACCCTCTTTTTTGACTAGACTTCTTGCAAAACTCCGTTAAACCGTTAAATCGCCTTGTAATCCCAAAAACACTTATTTTTTAGATTGAAAAACGAACAGCATGGTTCGAGCTACAGTTCTCATTCTTATTCGGAAGGGCCGAGCGGTGGGCAACCGAAAACAAGCCACGGAGTATGGATCGGGTAGAGGAGGAAGAGGTATGTTGTGGAGTACGAACTTTTTCCCTAATGACCCCAGCTAGCTTGCCTTGTTCAAAAGCTCCAAGATCGAGAATTGAGTTTATTTTTGATAATTCGAATTTATTTGGCTTGAATTTGAATTTATTAGTCCGATCCCGAAGGATCGCTGCTAGCATCCCCCAATTTTTGGATTTTCAGCGGTTAAAATTATGTTTCAACCAGCGCCCAAAACCCGCTTCGCGGGCCTTGGGCGCTGGAATGCGGCCTTTGCATGATAAATTTGACTTTCAGACAGCTCGGGTCCTGCGACCCCCCCCCCCACCACACGCGCGCGTGCAACTCGCAAGAATGAGGGAATTTCTTATTTATCACATTATGCAAATTAGCCCTCCCGGCCCCCCAAAAATGAATAAAACGGGCTTTAACTTTGTAAACTTGTATTTTATGAAAATTCTGAGAACGCCATCGGAAACAGAAGGGTGGATTCCCCAGGATGACGGAGAATTAGCGCATTTTGGACACGGAAAGGCCTTCAAATCGGGCCTCGAAAGTGACATCCACACACACACACACACACATAAACACAGATACACTCCAAAATTATATAAGGTAGGATTTTAGGAAGAAGAAGAGGACGATGGCTACTAACTACTACTACAAAATCTATCATATAATCAGCAAACTACAAACCACAAACTACAAAATTCCTAGGATTTTTTGAAGGAATCTCATTTTTTTGGCTGCCAGCTATACCAAACTCGTGTATTTCCCTATATCACTGCCCTGTAATAAAGATATATCACGTATTTTACCACATATTTTATAACGATTTATTGAATCAATGTTTGTTACTCGAAAAATGCATTTTTGGCGAGATCATTTAATCACAAACACACACCGAAAACAACACGCGAAGGTTCTGGAATTTACATACAAGTCATCAGAATTAAAAATAATGGGGCAAATTTGGTGGAAATTATGTATTACCGAAAAATTGGCCCGTTTTTGAGCAACAACCTGTACAGGAGCTAGATTACAACCGGCAAGGTACAAAAATAAAAATATTACAATTGAAAAGTAAAAAAATTGGCAAGAATTAGCATAAAAATACATACTGGGAATTATGAAAATTGATTTTGTGCACTTGGATAGGATCGACGCCGAGGCTTAGGCCAGGATTTTGACCCGGCTCCCCGGGAACCCATCTGCTCGCTCCACCGGTGTGCCCCGGGTAGTCAATGATAACAATTTCGCGCCATTAATAGAAGAGTTCCGTTATTTGAGGCTTTATTGCAACGCTTTCATATTTATAAAAAAGAATGTTGAAAAAGGCATACAATACATATTAGCGATCGTGATCATGCCCTGAACGAGGTCTGAGGCTAGATTCTTCCTTCAGTCAGCTATTATGTAAAATGGAGAGGTTTACAAAACTATAAGAAAAATGCTTATGAAGCCATTCAGACCGATTTGAGAATCATCCTAATGGCCTGGCAAAGCGCTTCATTGCACAAACGATGTGGAAGGAATTCAGCGATGTTCTTACACGGTATAATGTGCAACTCAGAGTTTTCTTTTTAATCTGTTTGACCATTTTTGCTAAATTTAATAACAGTTAACACACAAATAAATAAAAAGTGACCGCCCTAGAAACAAAAGGGGTGAGGAACATCTAAAAGCGTCTTGCTCCTGGTTACGTCGTGGTCGCTAATATGCTTATTATGCATTTTTAAACATCTTTTTTTACAAGGTCCAAGCATTTCTATAAAGCTTCAAATAACGGAACTCTTCTATTAATGGCGCGAAATTGTTATCATTGAATACCCGGGGCACAACGTCGGAGCCAGCAGATGGTTTCCCGGGGAGCCAGGTCAAAATCCTGGCCTAAACCAGTGGATAGGATAATAAGAAGTAACAAGAAAATATGAAAACTTTGGCATGGAATAAATTGAGAGAACGACACCGGTGAGGGGAAAGAAGCGAGGAATTTGTGGAAATCGGAGAATAAGAAATATAGCATAACTACAGACTACAATTTTCGGTGGATTGCGGATTGGAAAAAAAATCGAATTGTAAGTGTTTCTAAACTTTTTGAAATTATTTAAATTGCTCCGGTTATGCAGGTTGAATATTTAGAGATTTTTTCAGTAATACTAGCTTCAAAATTCAATTAAAAGGTTTAAAAGTCGCTTAAATTCTTAAATTCGTTTTAAATTAATTTTACCAAGCCTAGCTTTGGCTCGAAAATTTTGAAATCAAATTTCCAAGCCGATTTTCGAAAATATAGGGGATTTTGAACCCTCTGAACTGCAAACCACAACCCGCCCAGGAAATCGATGACGCCATGAAACTCAAGAACTGAGCAAGCGCTGGTGCTCCAACTGCTGCAACATGGCATTCTTCTCGTAGTCCCAACAATTCGAGCTCCCATTGCGGACCGTATTCGCTGTTGAGGCGTACGTGCGGATCCTGCAAATTTGAATTTCAGTAAATTTGCATAAATATTTTAAGCACACGCAACGCTTTTACACCAAACGCTTGGCACGGCCCGGACAAAGTGGAAAATTTGCACAATTTGAAAATTCCTCTAACACAGCAAAAAATTCGGGTTTTTAAAATACCAGACCAAGAATTGAAGAATGTTGTGAATTTATCATAGTTGTTTATAGTTGCAGCCTAAATTCTTATAGGACTTAGGCCTGACTTAGAGCAATGCCTGGGCTTAGGTTTTGGCCTAGACAGATTTAGGCTTAAGCCTTGGCTTCGGTCTTGGCTTGTTAGGGTTCTAGTAAGCCTAGGCTTAGGCTTCGCTTGGGCTTTCCTTAGGCTTTGCTTAGGCTTCGTTTAGGCTTCGCAGAGGCACGCCGCCGATGGATCCTTCCCCGTGGGGAGGGGCTTTGAGGCGGGGCTGCCAAACATGACAAAACTTTAAATCGATTTTTAACAATGTTCCTGTGGCGCTCGGCAAAAATAAATATCGGTATCGTTATCAGCGGGAAAAACTGCATCAGATAGGCTATATGGCTAATCGAAGTCCAACTTCGAGCTGGGGAGGTTTCCTTGTTAGGCTTGAGACTTAGGCTTAGGCTTAGGCTTGAGCTTTATATAAAGTTTATTACCGGTGGATTAAGCTTTTTATAAGTT